TAAAACAAAATAAAAGTTCAAACTTGAAACCTAGCAATATATACAGCTACAACTACACTGTTAGTTCCCCGGCAACGGCGCCAAAATTTGATCACGCCCAACTCTAGTCCTAAAAAGGATAATCGGTCACTGCAAATATAATTCGGTCTAAAAGTTCGGAGTCGAATCCCACAGAGAACTAAGGTTTCACTATAACTGTTCAATATCACTCAGAAGATAAGGTCGAACAATTCCTAAGTTATAAATATTAAGATTATTATATCTAATTAACTACCAAATTAAAGTAGTAGATTAATAACTAAAGATACTACGGGTTAGAGAAAAGATTAAGGAGATCTAGAGTTATGATTTCCCCAATTGTCGGAATCTTTTCCGCTACGTCTTCTATAATTTAGCCTAAATATTCTCTATTGATCATGAGCACTCAACTTATCGTAATTCTCTCTCGAGCAACGACAACAATGTACTAGTCATATTCTCTCGAATTACGCTAGCTCGCACTTTTTCACCGCTAACTATGATCACGTCAAAGTTTCGTTATCTCCAATCCTGCTTTTAAACCCGCTGTATTGATCTCTCATACGTTAGGAGTAACGTTGTTCAACAACCATCTAAATACGTACTTATTTTCAAGCAATACATAATAAATAGGCACCGTCAATTGAGAGCTCTTCAATTAACTAAAACAAGCACATAGTTGAACAAATAGAAAAATTCAAAGACTCAATTATATCAAAATGTGTCAAGAATTCATCCTACAAAAGATTTCATCAAAACCCTAGATAACAAATTAGCGATTCATAATAGTATGCAAAACTACAATACTAGAATTCATAACCAATAATGAAAATAGGAAGAAGAAAGTGAAAAACTCGTAGAAGAATTCTCCGCCTTGCTCCTTGTGTGTTCTTGCCTCCTTAGGTCGATTCCCTCTCTAATGATGTCTCTTCAATAGTGTCTAACCCTTCAAAAACTAACTTTTAGGGGTATTTATAGGGTAAGGGACGAATTTACATGTCCAATATTAATGAGGAATTAAACTTTTTTTTTCCGGATAGCATTGTTGGCGCCTTGCACTGCCTGTAGCACTGTTGTTTCGGTGCAAGGCACTGTCTGTAGCCTTGTCTTTTCGGCGCAAGGCACTGTCTATGGAATTGATGACAGTGCCCTGGACAATGCCTTGCACTGTCTATGGCACAGTTGTTACGGTGCAAGGCTCTGTCTATGGCACTGAATTTTCATTGCCTTCCACGTCTTCTTTTATTGCTCCATTTTATAGTTCTGAGGTACTATTTCATGCAACTTTTCTCCAATTCATGTCCAAGCATTCCTACACATGAAATAAGCTCTATTAGGTGCAATCGTCGCACAAATTATCATCCAAACAACAAACAAGTAGGGTAAATAATGTCAAAATATATGGAATTATCTCACGACATCAACACCCCAAGGATCCGCGGTCGGAATTCCATTGGGATTGACAGGGGGAACCTCGTTACTGGGTACCATATTGTTGTTCTCGCCATGGTGACCGGACTCTGCATCCACGTTTAGAGGGGCAGATTGGGAGTTCGACATTTTAAACTTTGACCTGAAATTAAAGACACTTCAAAGAACAAGTGTAAAATAGGGTGTGTTATGGAAATTTGTATCAAATTGCCATTATTATCCTTAGCCCCACGGTGGGCGCCAAACTGTTTACCCTAAAAAATGGATAACAATTAAATTTGTAAGTAGTTTTAATGATACGTAGATTTATTCAATACAAACAATAAAGATTGCTAGAATAAACAGATAAGAGATGTAATAAATTATCAAACCGCTTGAAAATAAGAGGGGGGGTGATTCTGGACTCGAGGGCAGCCTCAATGAGGTATCCGTTTTCGATCTCGGACTTATAATAATGAAACACTGATCAACAAACGTAAGAGCTTTGAATAACAGTAAAATAATAGTATATTCCCTTGGTATGCGTGTTACAATATACTCAATGAATAATTAGACCCCCATTGATATATTATGGGAGTCCTATTCTAGATACAATTCCATAAAAGGTAAAAAATCTTTCGTTTAGCTAATCACCGGATTTCTGCCGATACGTGCCGAGATCCATGCCGCGATAACCGGCCGGTCACGGATATCACGGCCTCCTATTAATCACGTTCGATCGTCCGATAATGCTCTCTGTACTCTTTTAAGATTTGGATCGATACCAAGGTCACGGTCCCAATATTCTCGAGGATGGGCGTTATGCTCCCAAAACTTATCTCGATGAGTCCTATACCTCGATTTTCGCTCCTTATCATCACGTTCTTTACTCGATTTATTTTATCGAAAATCGAACCTTCTCATGGGTCCGGTTTCACCCGTACACAAAAGGTAGGGAGAAAGACGTCAATGGCAGGTGGGAATAAAGATCAAATTCTGTAATTACATTCGACGATGGAAATTCCATAACATCTAAAGACTGAAAAGCCTATGAAGGCACCGCCCAGTCCGTACCAACTTCTTAGTTCGATAAACTGAAATCTCGGACGACATACATCCTAGGATTCCCTGTTGAAAGATATATAATTAATGCACAATAAAAATACCATGGATGATCACACGAGTAAATTTTACAAATTGTCATATAACTATGGTTTTTATTTACCAAAGTTATATAACTTTATTTTCTCACACAAAAATCATATAACTATTATTTTTTTTCACCAAAGTCATATAACTTTATTTTCTCACACAAAAATCATAAAACTTTCACTAACTCACACAAAAATCATAGTGGTCGGAAAATAAATTTTTCGGTTTTAGTTTTTTATTTTTTATTTTCAGTCTAATAAATAATTATCCAATTAAAATAAAAAAATATGAGTATATCTTTAGCCAAAATAATAGCCGATATATATAGGAATGACTCAATCCAACCTGACCGAATATTCATATGCGTAAGTTAAAATAATACTAAAAGTGAATTTTCCATCCATAAAAATCTTAGTTCGGAATGCATGAGATTGTGACAAAAAATAAAGAAATAAAAGGTACAATTAGAGAACACTTGAAATAAAAATGCTATCAGACTGAATAAAAATTTTGAAAAGAAAAATAAAAGATAGAAGTATCATGTTTTGAAGGATTTACTATTCACTTTTAATATTATTTTAATTTTTATATATGAATATTGGGTCGGGTGGACCAGGACGGGTTGGGTCATCGCTATTTTAATTGGATTATTATTTATTAGACTGAAAATAAAAAATAAAAAATCACAAAATAAGAAAATATTACTGAAAATTTATATTTTTCGATCACTATGATTTTTGTGTGAGTTTGTAAAAGTTTTATGATTTTTGTGTGAGAAAACATAGTTATATAACTTTGGTGAAAAAAGTCATAATTATATGATTTTTATGTGAGAAAACAAAGTTATATAACTTTGGTGAAAAAAAATCATAGTTATATGACTATTTGTGAAATTTACTCATGATCACACACTTCAACATAATATCATAATAAATAGAGATTTTGAATTCAAATTTTATCACAAACTAAAATACACAATTGGCCTATGAAAAAGAAAAACAATATAAACTCGCACATGATACACGTTAAAAGTATATAATTAATTAATTAATTAAAAATATATTTTTTACTAATTTATTTAAACTTTTAAATAATATAGTTACACAGTTCAATATTTTCCTTTAATATAAGTCTTCGTAGGTAATCCTGTGTATTTTTTTAATATGTACTCATACACGTGGCAATTCAAATTTCATATGTTAAGATACGAATGCAGTATACCAACAAATTTCAAAAAATTCAGTTTCATCAAAAGAATCTAGTGGAAGTATTTTTGGAATATCAAAAAAGTTGAAAATGAATTCTAAGAAAATGACAGGGCTAAATGAAATTTGGCCAAAATGCAAGGTTCTATGAAAGCATGCACTGCCCCCGACGTACGGATCCTCTTTTTTTCTTTTTTCCTTTTTTCTTTCCTTGTTTTTTTTTTAAATGCATATTTAACAAGTATTTTCTTTTCACAAACTCCAAATTTGCGTAGCAATGAAACCAAATAACATGGTTCGAACTATGTTGTGTTTATCGAATTTTATGAAGGAAATTATCCTATGAGTTGTAGATGAAATAAGTGGTTTAAACCCTGTTAAGCTTTGCTGATATTATGTTCTCGCCAGTATCCTTCGAAAATAGTATTGTACTCCTTCCATTTCAAAATAAGTTTCATTTCTTGCTTTTCCGAGAATCAATTTGACTAATTTTCAATGTAAAATCTGATTAGATCAACACAGGTTGGGAAAGCAAGAGAGCGCTTGGTGTTTTCTTATCTTCTTCCCGCCCTAGGCCTAGGAGTAGCACAAAAAGAGGGATTAGCATTATTGACTCAATGATAAAAGCACTAATACTTTCATCGTTGGGGCTCCGCGCACTGAGAAAAGGTAGTTTATTTCAAGTCGATCATTCCATGAGTTTGAAACAGTGATTACTTACCACATTTAGCAGATTATTAATTACTAGAACTCGTTTATCAAGAGATTTTAGGACCCGTTTGTCCATAAAAAACTGAAAATATTGTTTGGTTATTTATTGTACTGAATTTTTGAAATTATTTTGCAGATGAGTTTCAAGTTTGACAAGTAAAAAAATTATTTTACCTCTCAAAACTGTAATATTTTAAAGTAAAATACATATTCAAATCTAATTTCAAATGTCAAATACTTTTTTTTTCAACTTGAATCGATCCAAATACTCACTATTTTTCTCAAATATCGGCCAACCTTTGTGTCAGAAAAAAAGATCAGCTAAAAAGAGCATTTCTAATCGGACAGCGGGACATGATTCTTGGTACAAGAATTCCTAGAAAACCTATGGCTATAAGGGGGGAAAAGAAAAGCAAAAAGCTACTAGCACGCACAGAACACACAACACACACATATATATATATATATATATATATATATACCCTACCCTTAGACTTGTAAAAACATGCATATATTGCCCCATAAAAAACTAGCCATCGCCTTGTGTTAGTTTTATTTATTTAAGCATCAACATGCCAAGAGAACGTGAACCTCTGGTAGTTGGTCGAGTGATAGGGGATGTATTGGACCCTTTCACAAGATCTATTGGCCTAGGAGTTATTTATAGGGATAGAGAAGTTAATAATGGGTGTGAGCTTAGGCCTTCCCAAGTTATTAACCAGCCCAGGGTTGAAGTTGGTGGAGATGACCTTCGTACCTTTTACACTCTGGTAATACTTTTTTATGTTTTTTAAAATCAATTATTCTATTAAGAGTTCAAACGGTTGAATCTACATCATACCTATCGAGATGCGATTTTTTTTCGGACCCTGCGTGAATGCGAGAAATTTTATGCACCAGACTGTTTTTTTATATACGGGAATTGAGAAGACAAAAGGGTGGTAGAATCAAATGCATAGTTATTGTGTGGGGACTCTCACTGATATTACTTTTTTTCTTTTTTGTTAAGGTTATGGTGGACCCTGATGCTCCAAGTCCAAGTGATCCAAATCTAAGAGAATACCTCCATTGGTTAGTATCGTCCTTTTTCTCCTACCTCATTATTATTTCTTTGTTTTTTGGCTTTATTAAGTGCAAATTGTGCCAATTGATTGTTAGTATAATTTTGTATATGTATATTTTGAGTTTTCCTATGTTGTATATGTCCGGTGTCCCATGTGAATGATAGTACGGTGTCGCTAGGAACTCTATCTACAATGCATATTTTATATCATGATATAAGTTTGCCCGGCATGAGTTAGATCGTTGGGACCGGTTCTATGAATTTGGGTCGTGACAAGAAAGTCAATGATCTTTACTAGTTTCATACTCACTCTTTTTAAGTCAATTGATATATCTTTCAGCTTCTTGAACTGAGGGTCTTGTGTGTGGTTGTTATCCACAAGGTCGGAGGTTCAAGCCCCCCTAACTAGCGTATCTCTATTCCTTACTTGTAGAATTACACTAGATTTGCTGTTGTTGTTGCTTGAATACTCGAGGGTCTATCAAAAATAGCATATCTACCTTATATACCAGATAAGAATAAGGTGTGCGTACACTTTACCCTTCACAGTTTTGAACAACAGCAACAACATACCCGGTTTGAGATGATGAGTACTAATGTGACGATAGTGGTTGTTCTTGGTGCGATGCAATGTAGAGACTGCCAACTTTAAACCTAATTCTGTTTTGCTTTCCTCTTTACCGAGGTTTTTGTTTATGGGAAGTTTATAAACCATGAAATGTGCAGTCACAATTACCTTCGTACGTTGTCATTTCATCTACCTACTACTCTATCTTGGGTTAGGGTGACCATATCTTATTCCCAATAAAAACTTTCAGAGATCTTTTAATTACGAGAAAGAGAAAAGGGAATAACCAAAAAGAAATGGAGTCTTATGGTTGCCTCGTGTGCTAGAATCATGCACTAGTCTTAAAATTTTATACTTTTTACGTGGACTGTTTATATTACTTAGACTTACCATCATACCATGTTAAACTAGCTGAATAATTCACCGACAATATATAAAGCTTTTCAGATACACTACCACTAAAATCAGCTGAAACTTCAACATACTTTTGTTTGTTCGTACCTAGTGCAGTATTGGTGTCAAATCGATAATATTAAAAGTATTTTGGATTATTTCAAGTAACACAAAAGCCGTAGAGATGGCGGGCTATTACGGGGCGGGTTCAACCTTAACCCGCGAAGATTATAACCCGCCCCGCATAACAAAATTTTCTATTTTTAACCCGCCCCATCCCGCCCCGCAATATTTTTTATTCTTAATTTTTTTTAATGATGCTAAACCTTTTTTAACTTGAAGGTCATTCCGTCAACACTATTTTTATATTATTTTCAGCTTAAAATATTATTTTAATTATCAGCTTTAGACAGTAATTACTATACTCACTTTTTTCCTTATCTAATATTTTTTTTTCTACTTTGACTCACCAACCGAAACTCTTTGTATATAAAAAACATATGCTTAGGAGAGACCTATATATGTTATTTTAATTTTTTTTAACTAGGATGATTTTAACTTTGGTGCTCCAAAATTTATGATCTTGTAATTTACTTAAAGAACATGCTTATATAATCAAAGGGGGACCCAGAATTTAAAGGTGGTGGGGCATATGAGCATACTGCTCAACCAATACTCCATTGGACTTTTGATCTTAAGGGTTCTAGACAAAATATATGATTGTTTTATATATATATATNGGGGATCCGGTGACTCCTCTTCTCTATACATAGGTCCGCCTTTGTCTATAACCATATAAATTAAGACATGCTTTAATAACCATTTAAATTAAGATCACAAAATTTAAAAATAATTTTTATATGCACAAAAAGTCATTTACGTTTACTGATTGATATATATATATATATATATATATATATATATATATATATATATATATATATATATATATATATGTCAAACACTGTAATATAAAATAAAACGAATAGTTATTCTCGATATCTCTGGTATAACTACTCGTTGATATAAACGTTTGAGCTTTCCCAAGGAGGTACAGACCAGTCGATTTCTTTCTCTGAGGTTGACAAAAGTATCCAGTGGTTAACGCCATTGATTAATCATTTCCATTTTGTCATCTTCACTACTAAAAAGATCGTCTGATTTTATTCTGTCCCTGCAGAAGATTTTAGAGTGAACTCCTTTGATTTGAGCTTTGATATGAACTGAAAGTAATTAAATATTTCTACTACAATTTTACAAATTATTAAACTCTTCTGTGAAGAAAAGAAATTCCCATATATTTCGTGTTTTTTTTTCTTGTTAATTCAAATGGCCCATATGTACGTATAATCACTAATTATCTGATTTTTGCTAATGAACCCTCGACAGGTTGGTCACTGATATTCCAGCTACCACAGGTGCAAGTTTTGGTAAGCAGCTCTTTCGTTTAATTGTGTGAGCCAATTTCCTTTAAATCTTGTCAAAGACAAATACACAAATATTAATTAGAAGATGAACAAAAAGGCAATATGATGTTATAGTCTAGAGCTCTTAGAATTAAAAAAAATGGTTCAACATAACATTTTACAATTTAAATAGAAAAAAATGACTATAAATTAAGATCTCTTACGGATAAAAATAAATATTTCTTAGAAAATTTGACATAAAACTAAAAAAACTTTGTATACGTAAAAAAAAATATTTATCAAGGACAAAAGTGGAAATTCTCGCTCAAATATTTTACCTTAGTAGTGCACAAACATCATCGTACCACAGGATTTGATGGGATAGTAGGAATTTCTCTACTTTTAATTAGAAATTCTAGTTTGAGCTTTGGCAACAGAAAATTTCGTAGTAGAAAGCATTTCACTCCTTAACATAATTTGAGCCGCGTCTAAACTAAATGTTGGGTAAGGTTCCATGCTCTCTCTTATATATATATATATGGACACACTATCCCTTCCGACTATGTTATGGGGAAGGGGAGGTTAGATCTACTCATTGATTTTATATTAGATAAGTGGCCGTACTATAATCGTTCAGAAGATATAGGCCCACGCGCTACACACAAAAATCAATTGGCTTACTCAATTCGAATCAGAATTAGTCTAGATGTTTAGAAGAAGAAAAAAGGACTATCATCAAGATTTATCTTATCAACTTTAGTGGTCCAATACTATGTATAAATAACAATGGCAAGTCCTTAAGATCCATAGCTTTTTAGGAGCTATAGTATTTGCTTTTATGAATGTCATGTCCTCCTTTCTTTCTCCTTTGTTCCTTTTCCCAAAATAGACCAAACATTATCACTAATGCTTTGTTATTGTCAAAAGCATAAAAAAGTTAGTGTTTTCATATTTGTGGGCAATGTTGCCTTTTATCATGTTGTCACAAATTCTCAATGTGATTGATGTGCCCTAAGCTTTCCTAAAAGGGATGCTAATGGTCTAATATCTTTCTTAAGTTCCATCACTTTAATATTGATATTAGTTATACATAGGTTTAAAAAACACTATCAAACAAGAGATTAATAATATAAAAACTAATAAATGTATTATAATACATCATACCAAACTACCCCTAAAAGATGAAGATCCAGTCTTTGAGCCTATGGATGTATTAATTTAATTTATTTGTTGATTGGTCACTTTTAACACATGCCGCAGGATTTGTTTTTCTGTGCTACAACGTAGTTTGTCGACATTCCAACCGAGGAGTATTTTGAATGTGTACATAACTAGATTGCACATATGATTGTCGTTTAGGGTTTAAAGAATGTCCAATCTTAATGCTTCGCTAATTAATCTTTGAAAAAATACATAGAATATACTTGAAAAGCCGGAAGAATATATATATAAGTTTGAGCTATTACAAAAATCACATTTTTACTATTTAATATGTTATGTCTGAACTAGCCCCTCATGTGTGGAGCTGGTGCCTTTTCATACTGTATTGTATTATGTCGCAATATGTCTCCTCACTTATAGGGCTGATTCTTTTTCATGGACCAAATAACGTATAACTTTCTGGTGACGAGATTGAAACTCATGACCTCCTATTGTTCTAATATCATATTGAATTATGTGATTATCTCATCTAATAGTTTAAAATTGTTAGTATCATGAGCACACTTTTAATTGATTAATTACATGATGTCTTAGCAATTATTACCACATGATATATATGAACAAATTATCTATTTATATAAATGGTATTATTATAGGCCAGGAAATTGTGTGCTATGAAAGTCCAAGGCCAACAATGGGAATACATCGCTTTGTATTCGTATTGTTTAGACAATTGGGTCGACAGACAGTGTATGCTCCAGGATGGCGTCAGAATTTCAATACAAAAGATTTTGCTGAACTCTATAATCTTGGTTTACCAGTTGCTGCTGTCTATTTTAATTGTCAAAGAGAGAGTGGCAGTGGTGGACGTAGAAGGTCTGCCGATTGATGACATGCACTTTTAATATCCTTTTTAATCACTCTACCAATAGAGATATGAGCTTTGATTGGAAAAGAAAAGAAAAAATGTTTAAAAACTTGTGTGCAACAAAATGGCACATTAGCTTAACCAGCAATATTGCCATACATCTGTAGTTGTACTTTCTATTACTGCATAATATAATGCCTGTCTTGTCTAATAATTACCAGCTGAAGTTGATTTTAGGAAGTTTGAATTGTTCCTTCGTATTTATATCCAAATTTTGGTATCACCACTTTGTTCTCCTTCTAACCTTTAGAGCTTGTTTGGATTAGCTGATCGTAAGTAATTGATAAGTTTGAAATGATGAAAAATATTTTTAAGTGTTAAAACTGAGGTTTTAAATAATCATTTACATATTATGAAACTGATAATAAGTAGTTGATGTATTTGGTAGAAAAGTGCCGATAAGCTGTTCTTTTATTAAAATGACTAAAATATCCTTCAAAACTTTACAAAAAATTATAAATTAAAAAGTTTCTTTGTAAAGAAAAGGATGAACAACGAATATGGAATGAAGAAAAAGTTAAAAATTTTATTTTGGGAAAAATATTTTGTGAATTAAAAAATATTATTAAAGACAAACTAGTAAAAGCCTTGGTCAAACTAAAAGTGCTTATAAGCTTAAAAGCCATAAGTTGGGGTTGACCAACTTATGACTTATGGCTAATTTTAGCTTATAAGCACTTTGAGTGTCTATCAAACGCATAGATAAGTCAAATAATTATAAACCAGTTTGACCAACTTATAAGCTTAGCCAACACCCTCTTAATCATTTAAAGTTTCAAACATGTTGTAAAGTTGCTTAATTTCATATTTAAACATCATTTTTCTAAGGGATAATTACAATTTTGGGCCGCCGAAAATAAAATAATTGAAATATGTTTTGTATATTAGGTATAAATATACATATAATAATACATATCATATAAATAATTTGGGTTATCGCTTGTAATTATTTGGGAATGTTATACGAATAGCCGGCCAAATTCATTATTTACTTTTTCTAGTCGATATACATAGGTTATATATTGATTATACACATACATATATTATACATCTGCTGGCTATTTTTAGTTTAAGAGTTTAGGTGGCCGGCTATTTGGGTTAATTCTTTGGGTCGGGGGCTAAAAATGAAAAAGCCCTTTCTAAAACTTTTGGGTTGTGGGCCTGACGGGCTACGCTGGGTTGTAGCATGGTGATCTGTGTAACAAGACTTTTGGAGTTGTAGGTTTGTTTGCTTGAAATTGGTTTGTTTTTACTGCATGGGCCGTTGCCATTTGATTGGGCAGTCAAATGGTATATCCCAATTCGTATCAAAATTCAAGAATCCTCAACATTTAGGGAGAATGACACGAATAAGATGCTTTTGTGCCACTATTAAGTTTTTGGTTAAACTAATAAAAAATTTAGGAAAAAGCTCTATGACAGAATTTTAAAATACGTCGAGCGAGATTTTCCTTAAGCGCCATAATTTTAAAGTACACTAGACAAAATTATGGTGATTGTCAAGATTTTATTCGGAAGGATCATCAGAATTTTTTCACTATTGTGGCTGAAACTCTAGTGATAATTAAAATTTAGTGGCAAAATCATGACGAACACCATTATTATTGTGTGCTTTAAAATTTTGCTTAACATGATTTAGCCTTTAAAATTCTGGCAATCGATAAAAAAATCTTGTCTAACGTGCTTTAAAATTTGGCGTGAGACTATTTTCCTAAAATATATCTTGATTTTAGGAAATGTCATGACCAAAAATCACGTGACCAGCACCCGACACACTATCCGATCCGAGTGAACCAAATCATGTGATGCACCCAAATCATATGCATGAAAACCAATTTAACTGCAAAATCTCCTTGAAAATCATATACATTTTCAAGTTAAATGATAAAATATTTTCCAATTCAAAATCACACATGATGCCTTTCATGATAATAACAATGAGACTAAGTAAAATAAATATACTTTCATGAATGTCGCGTACAAACCCGTTACTATAACCTTTCACAACTTTCTATGGAGGTTCTATACCAAAGAATAGAATTAAACACTTGGGCTAATACTCTACTAGCATAAATTAAGAAAACAATATGATAGCTACCACGAAATAGGAGTGGTGCCTCACCATATACCTCATGAAGAGAGTCATCCTAGCCTTGGCCGCATGCCACGTATCATACCTCATCCTGAAATATGTAAAGTAAGCGGGACCGTAGAAGGGGGCCCCTAAGGGCTGAGTACATCACAACGGTACTCAATAAGTTTCATAGACTCTCTCTAACTTAAGTTCTTGGGACAAACTTTATAAAAATAATGCATCAATAGTTGATATAAAACGATAAGAAATTTTATCAATTCATGATCCTTGTCCTTTTAAATAAAAGTCAAGTGAAATATAACTCACAATATAAATTTTTAAAATTTTATATCAACACTAGATTTTGGATAAAATCATGCAAAATAATTTCATTTGCTTTAAGTCATTGAAATCACTTCCGGCTCCTTAGGATTAAACATAAGAAATAATCCTTACCTTTCACTGGGAGTACTATACCATCACCGACATAAGAAGATCAACTAGGTTATGTACCAAGCGGCAAGTATCATATACCCTACTTGCTCAAGTTGTCTCATCGTAGTGCCGTACGAATCAACTCAGCCATGCTAATAATAGCACAAAATAGTACCCTCTCGAGGGAGAGCACTCTGCCGTAGTCTATACCACAAAGTGGTCATCTACGCCTACACCGGCACGTGTAGTTTCATGATGACGAACACAATATATCCGAAATCAATCTCGATAAGCACAAGTAATTCCCAAAAATATTTGATACTTCAAAAGTAGATTCATAGCATAGTAGCCTCAAATGATCTATTTTTATCAAATCATAGCATTAATAGAAAATCTAAGCTATTTGAACAAAATTTAAATAAATAATCTTTTACATGTTAAAGCCTTTAGCAATATAACATCAATCTTTGAAAGATACCACAAGTGCTATTTTATTTATCAATTTTTAAAAGAAATATTTTTCATGAAAACTTATCTTTAGCACTCAAATATGTATACTCTTCTCAATACGTAAGTTTTGATAAAAACTTATAATATTTACCTTGAGTTTCATTTTGCCAACAAGATTTAAAATAAATTTTTTATAAAACAACATGACACTATATATGCAACGTAATATTTTAGTACATGGAGACATCCGTACTTGTTTGTCCCCACAAGCACGAAAGCACATTTGCAAACAACCTAAGCATTAACTCGAAACATGCTTTTAGAGAAAATCCCTCAGGAAGAGTAAGTTTTAATCAACTTACCTCGCTTTTGCTTTATTAACATTCAAAGCTTTCAATCCTCTCCCATCATTCCAATCTTGATTAAAATGCTCAAGCATCATGTCACGCCCCAAAATCGAGGACTGCGACCGGTGCTCAACTGAGTGAACCCGACCGAGCAAGACTGTTAGATTTTCTTCTACCCAAACTCATCCACGAATGAAGATAATACATATTTTCATTAATTAGACAAAAACGTGATCATGTCTATAATACCAATTCATTACTAATAGTTTGCATCATTTTTAAAGTCTCAAATGGGACAAGTAATACAACCACAATATAATATAGTTTGTCTTTCCCAGCACCAATACACAATTCACATTATGTCTATGGAGCCTCTATAGATAAAGAAGAGTATAATGATAATGCCGGCAACAAGGCCCCGGCTATACCTCAAACAGAATACACAAAGAATAATAGATACATGACCCCGGGATGAAGTGGGGCTCACCAAGTCAGCTGGGAAGAAGGTGTACTGCTATCACTGATCAATACATCCTGCTGTGGAACCACCTGCATCCATTTAAAGATGCAGCGCCCCCGGCAAAAGGGACGTTAGTACCGTAGAATAGTACTTGTGTGAAAACCAAACAACAATTTAAGAATTTATAAATACAATATCATAAGAGCATTTGAAACACGAATTGAACATATATCTTTATCACAAAACTTATCGGAATACTCGATTTGTAATCAACATCTTGGAACTTACAAGGATAATGGGAATTCCAATTCTTAAAGAAGGGTTTAGCCAACATACCTCAATGGAGCTTCCTTAAACTCTAAAATATTCCGGAATTCTTAGCAACTTTAATCTATTTTAGAAATATAAAAAATTAAACCAAAATTAGGAAGATGATCATGGTTCTAGCTCATTTGAGCATTTTATCAAACACTAGGTGTGCATAAGGTTTCAAGGTCCTTTTATGGAGGATTCCATCATCTCACAACCCAATCTTTACCATGCTTAGTTCAAAAATCTTCCTACACCCCTTGATATCACATGCATGTAAAATAAACAACTCTCACGCCCAAAATTTATATTGCTAATTACCCATTTTCAGATAATTTCGAAATTAGGGGTTAAGGTGTAGAATCTTACCTCTAGGATGAAGACCTAGTGAGTTTCCCTTCTTAATCTTCCAAAATTTGAGCAAGAATTGAAGAACAATTATTGAAGAACACCTTCTCACTCTAGGGTACTCTCTCACACTGTAAAATATCAGATTTTAGCTCAAAAATTGCCCAAAGCGTGTATTTAACGAAGTAGGGTCGGGTTTTAAAAACCTAAAATGGAGCTCCGGAACAAGGTCTGCGATCGCATATGCGATCACATAATTGATATGCGGACCGCATATCAGTCGCATAATTGTTGTCCAGAACCAACAAATATCTGTCTGTGCATGCGGTCACTATGCGGCCCGCAGACCTGTTCAGCGGTCGACTATGCGACCGCAGACCTGTTCAGCGGTTCATTATTCGACCGCAGAATGGCATCCAAACTAACCCCTCTTGCCTCACTTCTGCGGCCCGCAGAGTGATTTTGCGGTCGCATAATAGACCGCAGAAATGTATTTCACTGCCAAAATTTTTCCCTTATTTTTCGGTGCATTGTTCAACCCAAAAACATTATTTTTCTTTTGTAAAATTTTACGAGGCCTTACACATCACCAACAAGTCGATATCTACAATTAGATATCCCAATTACATCAAGATATGACCTAAAATATTGACCAATATCCATTTATGGCTCATAAGTTGACTACTAGCCTCCAACAACTCAAATCACCGAATAGGTTCACTTACTAGCATATTCAACTCCACTCTTATCAATT